CACTATTACTAGCTGAAATGCAAAGTATTTACATAAAAGATGCGTATGGATCTGTATCTGTGCAAAACTACTTCAAAAATTGTTGACTTCCATTCCTACAGTGCAACAAGGACTATTATCTGATTTCCCCTTTCACCCTGTCCCATTCCCTGCCTTTAATTTCATCTTCCAATAAGCTTTACTGACTAACAATCTATTCCACTTGACTCTGCCTGCAATACATGGTGGCTGGTTTTGTAATCCAAAACTTGATGTATTCCACAGACGCAGCTATGAAACTAAAAAACCATGACTAAACTACAAAACAGTTTCCTAGGGAGGTGGTTGATGCCCCAGGTTTGTCAGTGCTCAAGGGGCATTTGGACAATGCCCTTAACAAGACACTTGAACTTTTGGCCAGCCCTGAAGTGGTCAGGGAGTGGGACTGGATGATCCTTACAGGTCCCTTCTGACTCAAATAGTCTGTTCTGTTCTAACCACAGGTAAACAGCACTCAAAAAGCACAGCCATGGTCTCAGAAGCACTGGTGCTTTTAAGACTGAAACAACAAAAGAAAGCCAATCTAACACAGACAATTAAAATCAGATAGATGGAATGTAAATCAGTGTCAAATCATGTGAAGTTCACATAAACATATCCAAAAAGGTTTGCACTCCAAACCAGTTGTAAAAATGTTTTATTTAACTTGGTATACATCTACAGAGGTCCTCAAATCCCTAAGAGGAATTACAATAGGACATTTTTGAAGTGAAGAACATTTATCATTCTCTGTTTGTTTTCACACCATCTCTATGAAACTTTCAGAAGGGTAAAAAAAGCCCTTAACAACCACAGGATAAAAATAATTTTTTTCTGGTATCCAACAATCTTCTTTCCAGCCTGAAATTTTCTGTTCAGCTTTAAACACAAATATTTCAATATTACAAACTGCCTTTACTTTTGAACACAAGATGAAAGGGTCATACCACTCACACATCCATCAGTTATTGATGTTCATCAGTACACGCTTTCCCAAATCAGGGGAAGTTGCAAAAATGGCACACACAACTCAGAACCAAGTAAGTGTTTGCTAGCAGCCTCTCCTCTCTGAATACAACTCTCTTCCACAGCACCATTTGGGTCTCCAGATATAAGGAGGCTAGAAACCATTTATAAATCTGAAACACTTGGAAACCAAGAGAGCAACAATCACTGAAAGAACAAAAGGATTTATAACCAAAATGCACAAAGAGATCTATGATGGAGAGCAGCAGAGCTACCTACTTGCAAATGGAAAGTGAAAAATGGTGAGTGGCTATCCTTGTGGGAGACAAAATAGAATCACAGAATGACAGAATCAGCTTGGTTGGAAGAGACCTCCAAGATCATCCAGTAACACTTAGTTCTCTAAAACCAACCCAGGCAGGAATGAAAAGTTAACGTGGCTTCAAAAACTGGTTAGTTGTTTTGAGCCTTTTTCAAATTCACACAAGCTTTTGCTACTGCCCACACCAAGCAAACTCTATCAAGAACTCTACTTCATTTCCACCCTGGCAGCAAATGACGTACTTAATTACTTTTAATACCTCATACACCACATTTCACAGAGAAAAATATTTATATTATAACATTATATTGTATACCGAAAGACTGAAAAATGCGAACTTCATAATTATTTGTTCAGCCTTCAAACGTGGATATAACAGCTGAGCAATGTCTGAGCTCACTGCCAGGAGGGGTCAGGTCCAACCCCCACTCTCCTCTGCCACTGCTCCTGGCACAGTGTCCTGCACCATTCCTGCCATGGACTGATGCTCATCTGACTGCACAGTAACTTCATGGCTCAGCAGAAAACTATTCACTTGGCTGCTGGATGAGTGATCAGCATTGGCTCACAGCAGTGTCAGGCAGGAAGCAAATGGTGGTGGCCACTGAGCAGGCAGAGAGGGGTACCAGAACCCACTCACCAGTGGCAAAAACCACTTGGTGTGCTCAGCTCCCTGTCCCACTCTCCTCCACCTGCCCACCCTGAGCACAGAACAAGGCTCTGCTTTCAAGGGTTACAGAACAAACTCCCACCACCTCACACAACATGCATGAGGCTGGATCCATTCCCTAAGCAAACTTTACGAGAAAGGTTCCTAACCCAAACGCTTGAACTTTTAAATTTAGCATAGAAATGACACAGTTTACCTCTGTAAAGGTAACATTTTAGTACATTTAACTGATATATGGATCAAAACCAAGTTAGTTCAGGTGAGTCAGAAAACTGCTCTAGGACTCCAAGAATGAGAAATAACAGGGACAAGGGGTAGGCAGAAAAACCCACAGCACCCACAGATGTGCAGACTGAGTTCCTACTTTACTGGGGTGTAAAAAAGAACAGAGGTCCTTTATTACAGTGAGTGTGGGAGGTGCTTTGCCATACTGCTTTGACATCACCATGTGCCACGTGGAGCTTGTGTTCAATTATTCCAGCACACAGCCAAGGTTTTCCTGAGGAATACACACAAGAAACAGAAAACTGATTTCTAGAAGGAAGCAGTATCTCTCAGCAGAGCTTGGATAGAATGTGACAGCGCAAGAAGGCAGCACATTTCTAGCCTAAGGCTTCTGCTCTGATGAATTTCAAAGATCCACTCTCAAGTAGGTGTTTAAAGCTGCTCAGAAGCTGCAAAGACTTCAATAGCAGAAGGAGTTAGTTTGCTGAAACACTGGGATTGCTGTCAGCAATGCCCAATAAATACTTTCATCTTGTTCTTCTTCGTCTGCATTAGCTGTGGACAGGAGCAGAAACACACTCAGTCACTCCCCTGCTGCATATATCAAAATACTTTTAAGTAAAATGTGCTGCTTCTTCCAAACCCACTAACTCTGCTTTGACACTTGGCTAGTGGACACCGAAAAAGCTTCCTTCCACATCTCCCGAGGGCAGGAACTGAGCTGCCTCAGAGCAGACAGAGAACTTGGTGAAAACCTCAGCAAGCAATCCAGAAGGCTAAATAAAGTTCCCAGCCCAGGGCTAAGATATCCAAACTGGCTGCTTTAAGGAAGATCTGGCAGCAGCAGAGCAGTGCTTGACGCAAGCTGATTTCACCTCTCAAGCAACTACTCGCTAACAACCCCAAACTCTCAATGCAGATGTTTCAGAGAGGCTGCAGCAGCGACCACAAAAAGGTGTGTACACACACACACATCCTGCTGGAGTCTCATTTCAGCCCGGACAGCACCAGCAGTGCAGGCAACTTTGTGTCTGCAGTCAGACACAGACAGGTGCTGAACCACCCACAAACAGCACAGAGCCTTCTCTGCCTCATGGCTCAGAAACATCAGAGCCGAGTTAACGATCTTCACTTGTATTAAAAACGAGTTAGTTCAGGTGAGTCAGAGCACTGCTCTAGGACTCGAGAATGAGAAAGCACAGGGACTAGGAGTGGGCAGGAAAACCCTCAGCACCCACAGATGTGCAGAATGAGTTTATGCTTTAGTGGAGTGTAAAACCCCACACAGCAGCACAGGAAAAATGTTTTCCCCATTAGGGTGTTCAGGCACTGGGATATTGCCCAGGGAGGTGGTGGAGTCACCATCCCTGGAAGTGTTTAAGAGGTATCTGGATCTGACATTGGAGGATGTGGTTTAGGGTTTAGGGGTTAGAAGAGAGTGTCAGGTTAATGGTTGGACTCGATGATCTTAGAGGTCTCCTCTGACCTCAACGGTTCTATGATCTTCACTTTCTGGCTATAGTCCCACATGGCCAGACATATGTCTCAGGCATTTCCTCACTGCAATTGAGACTGAAGCTAGTGAACCATCTCTCAGCTCTGCTACAGCTCTTCAGGCTGAGTTTTTAAATAGCCGACACAAAACCCCAGCTCAGCCCACAGAAGTGTCCCCCTGGATCTTCCAGTGAGTTTAAAGTTCACAATCACGAACAACTGAAAAACAGGCCCAGCCAAGATGCTACTCACCAACCAGGAAATAAGATATGCAGGTGCAGAGGGAACAAGTGTTCTTGGAGCCACTGCCACTTACAGTAGCCAAAGAGAATTTTAAAAACCCAAACACCTAGCATAAAAACCCCACAAGAAACCTCTTAGATAATAAAAACCCCTCAAGTTTGTACCAGCCAGATAATAAAGAAAAAATTGTCAGTTAACCAACATACCATATGCTATATATTTATTCTTATATATTTTTCCAATAAATATGATTTTATCTAATAAATTGATGAGTTAATGAAAAGTGTATTAAAAATAGTTCAAAAGGATTTGAACAACTAACTTCCTAACAGAGTCAAAACAGGCACAGGGAATTCTGAACAGACATGAAAAATTTTTTAAAAACATTTAAAAGGTTCGTAAGAATTTACAACTAAATGTCATTTCTTCCAGAAGAATAAAAAAAAGCTTTAGAGAACAATTTCAACTGACATATGTTCATACCAGAAAAATAAGGGTGTTCATTTTCCTTTCTTCCCTGCATTTTGCATTCAACAAACCAAGGCATTTCATCTTGCAGAAACAACCACTAAGAATTTCTCCTACTGCATTTTTTGCCATTGCTGTGCTCTGATATGAATAATGAGGAAAACCAGGACTGACTTTTTCTCTTAAAGTAAAAACAAACAGGACCCTTTACAAATAAGCCCATTAATCATTTCCCTTTTTGCAGGACCTCCAGTAACTTTCATCATGTGCAAATTTTTTGTATGAAACTAAGTTTCTAAAAGGTACTGTTTACTATGCAGATTTTTTGAGAAACAGGTTTAAATCACTTATATTTTCTAAATATTTAACAATATGCATGTGCCAAGAAGCTTTGTTTCCAAAAACTGAGCTCTTCTTTCCACACAGCAGATTGAGAGGCACAATTACATAGCATTATTCTACAGGGAATACACCTTCAAGTGTAAAAGGATGACAAAAAAAACCTTTTCATTCGAGGTTCAGAAGAAAAGCCATCAGGCTTGTCTCAAAGAACTTCATTTCCTTTAGCAGCCCCAGGAACTGCAGAAATACCCTCTGGAAGAGTTGTCCTTCTCCATCATGGGCAAGTTTTACCCCTGCTTTCAACAGAACAGCAACCCAAGTTTGGGCAGGTGAACAACTTACAGCCCTGAGCTTCCTAATGCAAGTAAACTCTTCTACATTCAGCTCAAAGCACCAAACTCAGCTCTCCCTCAAAAGGCATCAGTCCCTCAGTACCAAGCTCCTCTTCTATCACCAGTTGCCCTCACCTTGGTACAGCTGTCTGAAGTCAGGTAGGCTCTTTCCTCCAACCCCTCAAGCAAAGCCACAGATGATCAGAGTAACATTTTATACCATGCTATAGATCTAATACCTAGAGCTGTCTTTAGGCACTCTAGTGTTGGTCTCTAAACACACACACCAAAAGGAGAAAAAACAACTACGAAACCAAAAACCCAAAGCAAAGGAAAGCAGACTCAAACCAAAACTTTGCTCCTAAGCCCACACAGTACATTCTGAGCTCAGAATCAACAGGGCTTGGAGCTTAACTTTTAATAATCTTAGATAAAGAGTCAATATTTGAGAAGGTCACAGAGACACTGACCACTGATACACACAAGGAGCTGCTTCTTAGAGCACTTGTGCCTTTGCTCTCTCTTGCCCAGGATGTAAAGCTAGATCAGCAG